AACCATAGTATTAAAAAGTTAACTGATTAACCATTGTATTAAAAAGGCTAACTGTTATATTAACCATAGTATTAAAAAGTTAACTGATATAATAACTATGATAATAAGAAGTTAACTGATATAATAACCATTGTATTAAAAAAGTTACCCGATTAACCATTGTATTAAAAAAGTTACCCAATTAACCATTGTATTAAAACAGTTAACTGATTAACCATTGTATTAAAAAGGCTAACTGTTATAATAACCATTGTATTAAAATAGTTAACTGACATATTAACCATTGTATTAAAATAGTTAACTGTTATAATAACCATTGTATTAAAAAGGTTAACTGTTATAATAACCATTGTATTAAAATAGTTAACTGACATAATAAGCATAGTATTAAAATAGTTAACTGATATAATAACCATTGTATTAAAAAGGTTAACTGATATAATAACCATTGTATTAAAAAGGTTAACTGATGTAATAACCATTGTATTAAAAAATGAACTGATATAATAACCATTGTATTAAAAAATTAACTGATATAATAACTATGGTAATAAGAAGTTAACTGATATAATAACCATTGTATTAAAAAGGTTAACTGATATAATAACCATTGTATTAAAAAGTTAACTGATATAATAACTATGATAATAAGAAGTTAACTGATATAATAACCATAAACATGAAACATTACTGACTCTGTTTGTTGGTGTTTTTTGTTATATATGTAATCATGATTTCGTCTATTTTCTTGCCTATTACCTTCTTGAATTAAATTTTGTAGTAATAGTTATGTGTTAAATGTATAATTCATTAGTAATACTAATATAATATCTATGTGTTAAATGTATAATTCATTAGTAATACTAATATAATATCTATGTGTTAAATGTATAATTCATTAGTAATACTAATATAAAATCTATGTGTTAAATGTATAATTCATTAGTAATACTAATATAATATCTATGTGTTAAATGTATAATTCATTAGTAATACTAATATAATATCTATGTGTTAAATGTATAATTCATTAGTAATACTAATATAATATCTATGTGTTAAATGTATAATTCATTAGTAATACTAATATAATATCTATGTGTTAAATGTATAATTCATTAGTAATACTAATATAATATCTATGTGTTAAATGTATAATTCATTAGTAATGTTAATAGTTTTAGCGATATATGGAATTTGTTCGAAACTGAGTGGCAACATGACATGTTGTTACAAATATAATTTGAATCTCACTATTTGCCAGTAATACCACGTGACAGAAATAGGAAATTACAGAACCTCTGAGGTAGCCCTTACTTTGTTAATATTTGACCTGCATACTTTTAATGTTTGATATTTTAAGCAAAATCCAAAACGTTTGACACCTATTCCCCCCTTTTTAAATGAACAATTTTTAATAATCTTGTTTTTTTAGTTATACATAAATCTGTATAATAGCAATACTGTCCTATTTTCAACAGTTTAATTTAATGAAATATGTAGTTGGTGTATGATGCTCTCTCAGGAAATAATGACAACTGTAGATTGTATTCATGCAGATTGGGTGGCTATTGCTCCTGATATCATCACAACAATGTTATTATTGATAATGGCACTGTGTTGACAACTGTAATGACAACTGTAGATTGTATTCATGCAGATTGGATGGCTATTGCTCCTGATATCATCACAACAATGTTATTATTGATAATGGCACTGTGTGTATGATCACTATGATGCATGATGATCAACATACTACTTGTTATGTATATACTTGTAAAATATATACAGCTAGTATATTTATACCCTGTAGCTATATGGGGAGTCTGTAAACACTGGATTGAAGGGACTACTGAACGGTACTGGAATGATGCATGGATTGGATTTTGTAACCGCATGAGTTTTATACATGCATGTTGGCTAGCATTTAAATCTATATACATATACATGCAGGATTTATAGTTTTTTAAGTTGTAAAGCCGTATGTATATGAAATTTTCAAGTTATATAGATGCATGCATATACATTCAATGCAAATATAACACAATGTGCCATACATAATATAATATCATATGTATATGAATAATCATTTTGAACAATTCTTATAGTTGTTATATTTCCCCTTCCTCTTCTTCGCTGGCCATAGTAAGGCCGGTCACGGTTTTCCTGCAGCTGACCACTTTTCCTCTTACAGTGACATTCTGCAAATTCTACAAGGTCGAAAATGTGTTGATTATCAATGATGAGTTCATTATATTAATATACCCCCACTCTTCATTTCTGATAAAGCTTAGGTCGATACACTTCTACGACCCTTTTCCGCTGTGACGACCCTAAACTCTGGTGGGCCGTCGCTGCATATTTTTATATGAAACTAAGTATTTTCTAGATAAAATATATAACTACAAAATTTCTAGTATCGTCATCTCCTGCTTGCACGATCCTTGCCACTCCTTAGAATCAGCTTCAAGGATGGCTACTCTCTCTGCAGTATCTATAAAATTCGCAATCACACAGTGTTGACTATAATTCAACACTTACCATCAGCCATCACTGGGATTGCCGATCCGATGCTTGGTGCTATCTTTTCAACTGCGGCTGAAAGATTTTTTTCTGTGGAAGACAGCCTAGACGCTTAGACGTTTGAGTAACATGGCCGAAACCGATCATGCAGTGGTAAAATAAAATAACAACTGTGATCCTGTCACCAGTGTCGTGTCCAAAATGTCAGGAACCCTATATATAAGCAAATGTTACACGACATCAATACAGTTGCAACAATAAGTTAATAATCGCTATGGTACATGTGTCATGGCTGCCATATAAACATTAAATTACATCCAAAGCCTACGCAGCAGCTATATACGTGTGCATGTATATTAGATTAAGAGGCTCCATATAAACCACAGCCTACATTGATACGATTGGGTGTCAACGGTTATACAGACGCTGTTATTTGTCAGGTAATCAAATAAACTTAAAAACCACCCTACACAATGCTACAGAAAGTTTCTTCAATGAGAAGACATTAGAGAACTTATGATAAGGTAAGACTTCTACGGTTTAGAGGTGGGTTGAATGAGTAACAAAGAAAACTTTATTACAAGTTTAACACAATAATAAATACAAAGTGTTTGGAGGGTTTGTCATCACCAGGTACAAGTAGTTTATCAAGACACAGTAATATACATACAGTATCAAACAAAGAAGTCACATGACTGGAAATTGAAAAACGCAGTTAGAATCATACAGTGGTTGAAAAAGTTAGAAAGCTAGCACACACATTCATTTTTAAGGTGTGTGTGGGATGTAGGGGGCGTATACTAATCGATTAACGAGCCCGTCGATTAGAAAATACAATTAATCGCTAAGCTATACCGTAAATACGTTTATATTATATTCTGTATTGGTATAAGATCTCTGATCAATACATGTTATCTCGGACTTATAGTTCCGTTTGAGGTCTCTGCAGTCGAAGCAGTAAACAATGTGATGTAAGGAAGGCCAATCCGCACTGTTCTCAGTCACTGTTTGAAAAAACTTGGTGTCATTTCTTCTTCACAGTTCCTCCGTTTAGTTTTCACGAGCTTGAAATTTTGAGACTTGAATCTCAAAATATCGAATTATCAGTGTTAGGATACAATCTTTGAATCAAGAGAAAGAGGGCCGTCCGTATCTTTGAAACTGAAATTTCAAGCAATATAAAGAAACTTTATACTATAGTAATAAACTGTTTAATGTTCTAAGAAACGACCACCAGAAGGCTTTAGAATATCATATTTTATTTGCAGCAATATAAAATAAAACTGTTTACACGTTTAATAAAAAAGTGAATGTGATTATGCAATCTGTCGCTATTGAATAGATGATGATTCATGGTAATATATATAAATATATTTTATTAGATCTCCTAATCTTCGGTAAGGTTACTTTCATTAGATCTCCTAATCTTCGGTAAGGTTACTTTAATTAGATCTCCTAATCTTCGGTAAGGTTACTTTCATTAGATCTCCTAATCTTCCGTGAGGTCACTTTCATTAGATATTCTAACCTTCGGTAAGGTTACTTTCATTAGATCTCCTAACCTTTGGTAAGGTTACTTTCATTAGATCTCCTAACCTTCCGTGAGGTAACTTTCATTAGATCTCCTAACTTTCCGTGAGATCACTTTCATTAGATCTCCTACCTATCCGTAAGGTTATTTCATTAGATCTCCTAATCTTCGGTAAGGTTACTTTCATTAGATCTCCTAATCTTCCGTGAGGTCACTTTCATTAGATATTCTAAACTTCGGTAAGGTTACTTTCATTAGATCTCCTAACCTTTGGTAAGGTTACTTTCATTAGATCTCCTAACCTTCCGTGAGGTCACTTTCATTAGATCTCCTAACCTTCCGTGAGGTAACTTTCATTTGATCTCCTAACTTTCCGTGAGATCACTTTCATTACATCTCCTACCTATCCGTAAGGTTATTTCATTAGATCTCCTAACCTTCGGTAAGGTTACTTTTCTGGTATGGTAGCAAATTTTGCTTGTTCGTGTATTTTCTTGACAAATAAGTTTATTTTTGGTAAAGTCACAGAATATATAAATCAAAGAATCCGTGAGCGATAGCAAAAGAGAATACGTTATAATATGTCAACCACACTACATCTGTTCAAGCAGAAAAGTTGGTTATGTTTTCACCTAATTAGTCTCCTTATGTTTTACACTAATGTCGATATAGTTATATCTGTATAATAAATATATAGCCCATTTGTGTAGCTTTGTACTTAACAGAAAACAAACCACGATTAAATGTATTTATAATAGTATCCTGTGTTTCCTTCTTTTAAAATTTTTCACATTCGTAACACAAATTAACCTTTGAATTTCCAAGTTTATTTGTAAAATAAGCTTTAATGAATCCATTTTTATTTACGAAGTTTTTTTAAAGTGAGTTATAATAAAATAATTACTTATTTCTGTTGTTTTTTGTTTTTTTTTCAGAAATCATTCACGTTAATATTTGAAGCATTAGACCACAATAATCATACCAAGCCTTGTAAGTATTTCAGTTCTAGAGGAAACTAAATTTTCAGTGTCATATATATGCTTGACTTAAATGGTTTATTGTTTCATACTTCTATATTATGTCGATTTGAGTTAATTGGAATTTTAGAAAATGTTTATCTTCCTCTGTTAACGATCAAAGTTATTGATTATGATTTTCCATATATTATTTTGTTTAAAGAACTTTTTTGGTCATTTTCTCTCCTTTATACTATTTTGAATGGGAGTTTGAGCCAATAAAACTATAGCATTTGTGGTTCTTTTGTTGTTTTTTCTCCTACACACTGGTGTCAACTGTAAAACTGTTAATAAAACCTATGCCATGGGTAAACGAGTGTTGCAGGTTTGAGTACTAAATATATGTTTAGAGGTGTGGATTTGGTTGTTAAATAACAAATACAGGTAGGTTCCAACCACAACAACATGAGAAACAAGGTTGTGACTGATCAGTGAAAAGGAAATCAACTAAAAGTACGTGTGGTCTAATGTGGACTCAAGGTCACCTTATGCACATATATTACACAAATATTACCAGTACCTCACTTGCCAATCTGCACCATTGTAATGTAACCTGCCATGCGGTTTTTGTCACACGTACTTCATTTTCTAACTATATGATATTATTGGTATCAAACTTACTGTTCCATAACCTTAATCTATCAAAATTTCTAAACTGATTGTCTTAAGAATTCCATTCTTAACCGCTTTACATCAGCCAGAGTTGAAGTCTTTTGCAGTTGTGTCTTGTCTTGTTTTTGTTTAGATTTAGTATTTGTTATGTGTTATTTATATTCTGTTCGTGTTAGGTTTGCGAAACAAAAACAATTTGTTATTTCTATAGGATATCCGGCAGCTGTGTTAGGTTTTTACTCCATACAATTCTGTACAATATTGTCCAGTTTTACGAAAGATCTTCAAGTTTTCCTTGTATCAGTACATTGCTTGCGAGCTACATGTTTTAATGAACGTTTAAATATTGTTTTACAGCTTTTCAACTAACGATTTATGGTTCTGATTTCACACCGTGCCAATTCGTAAAGAAGCTTTATAGTTTAATAAGCTAGTTTCTTTAAAAATGTGTTGTGAACACATGATTATATAATTTATAACTAATAATGAGAAGACTGTTGGGAAAAAAAGATATTGTTCAATGAACTTAAATTTTCAAAAAGAATAAGTTTCTAAAATTGACAAAAGTTGAAAATAGTAACTGTTAAAATGGCACAGATTTTCAGCAGCTAAGAAAACAAATAAACTTCAGTACTTTAAATACTTTATCGATAAATAAAAGTAACAAAACACTACTTAACATACAGCAGGTTGCCGTGCACGCTTTTAAGTAGCCTACTTTATAATGAATATACCTGATGTATATAACAAAAAAAATCTAGTGACTTTAGCGTCTGCCTGGAGGGGCTTAATCTGTTAGGGAGTGTTTCTTCGGGTGTCTGACGTAGTTAGCCCTCCTGTTCTTATCCACTTTATTCATCTCCAAGCGCATCTCTTTATCAGGCATGGCGAACACCATAAATTCCATTGGCTTCCCTGTAATTGTAAACTCTCTGGGTTGATTGCACCGTTAAACTTGAAGCTCTGCGGGAACTCTCGTAAATTATCTTCGAAAGATGCCACAACTTGTCAGAGCCACTGGATTTTTGCGGAATAGTTAAAGGCTGCTGGAGAAGAGATCCTAGCTGGAAGGGAGTTTTATTTACTTGTCAGATGGCTACTAGTTCTGTGCAAGTGAAACGATGTAAGGTTTTTCCAGTGGAATATTTACGGCCTTTCCAAGTTTAAAATCTCTAACATATAAAGGTAACATAACATGTAAGCGTGAATGAATCTGAGCTAAGAGGCTACAGTATTTTTAGCGTTCTTCACTATTCACTGGGGAACAACGGAGATGAAACAACATAACTAGTTGTTTATTTTTTAGTATATCTTAAATTGAAAAATTAAATAATAAATCGGTAATAAGATAAAATCAACTTCCATTATCTATATTTAGAAAACTTTTAAAAAATATCACAAATAAAGAAAATATATTATATCTTTCCGTAAATGGCCAGGTGGTTAGGGTGCTCGACTTGCAATCTGTGGGTAGCGGGTTCGAATCCCCGTCACACCAAACATGCTCGCCCTTTCAGTCGTGGGGGCGTTATAATGTGACGGTCAGTTCGTTGGTAAAAGAGTAGCCCAAGAGTTGGCGGTGGGTGGTGATGACTAGCTGCCTTCCCTCTAGTCTTACACTACTAAATTAGGGACGGCTTAGCGCAGATAGCCCTCGTGTAGCTTTGAGCGAAATGCATAACAAACAAACAAACATAGTTACGATTTACATTTGTCAAAGTTGTTTAATAATAAATAAAGTGCTTTAAAATGTTATTTACAACTGTAACTTTTTATGTACTTTCACTAACTCCATAATAGTTTTAACCGTTCTCTACCACTGTCAAGAGAGATACATATTATAAATATGGTCTTTTACATGTCTATTTACACAGTTTGCGTTTGGAAACTGAGACCGATGTTGACCAAACTTGTTATATGTAAAGATAAAGCATCTGATGTAAAAGATTTCATTCTACATTTCTGTTGAATGTTTAGAAGTAATCATTCAGAAACAAGTGAGAGTGGGACTCTGTAAGTACAATGATTACACGTATATTTAACGTTCTCCACGATTCATTGGTTTAGTGTTAAGGACACTTCTTCAGGCACACATTGAAACTACCAGACATTTTTATACTTACCTTAACCAGGTATACTTATTACAAGCTAGGATACGTAAAAGTTTATACAGCAACATAGGAAAAATAGAAGGTTTTTTTTAAAAAAATATAGTCTAAATTTCATCAGTAATTAAGCTAATTTTTCCTTTTAAATTCACCGCATATATTTTGTGTAACGTAGGTGAAAAATATTATATGAAATTATCATGCTTGAGAAATGTTGAATTGGTTAGGATTTGGCCACATTAGCACTTTTGTTAGTGAAGATCGCCATAACAAGATAAAAGTTAAGGTTCTCTCGAACAATTAGAATCCAATTGTGCTTGCATTTTTCAGGTCAACAATGTTATGTGAAACAGGGTTCCTGTAAATTTCTATGGGAATATTTTACAAAGCTCAGTTCGTTCTGGAACAGTGGACGAACACAACTCTGTAACGAAGAATGCTAATACCATACATAACTGAAACAGAGATTATTCGCTTTTGTTCTTGAACTATTTTAAGTGCGCACTTTTCTAGAGAAGTGCGCACTTAAAGAATGAACTAACGCTTGTTTATACCTACTAGAGAAGTGCGCACTTAAAGAATGAACTAACGCTTGTTCATACCTACTAGCAGGTATAAACAAGCGTTAGTTCATTCTTTACTCCTAAACCTCGAAAGCGAAAGTCAAAACTACATTTCCATTTGTTTTTTTCAGGAATTTTCCGTTTTTGTTTAGTACACACGACGTTTTTACATCTTATATCCTGTTGCAAAGATACCAAAATAAAGTAGTAGTAGGATCTAGATGGGAAATAAAAAAAAAGAGAAGGAAAACGAGTAAAAAAAGTTTGAGATCAAGAGGATTTGGAATGTTCCAAAGAAGAAACAGGTGATAAATGGAAATTGGCGATCAAATAGCAAGCTAAGTTTTTGTTTCACAGAAATATTGTACGAACGAAAGTTTGTTCACCTCGAGTTCTCTGTGATTGTTCTCAAACTTCACACTGTTATAAGCCCAGATATGGTGTAGGAACGACGCTCAAAGAGAATAAAAAGTTGAAATATTAATCATACCTCTCTGAGTTTTTCAAGCACATTCCGGCTATTTTTGGAAGGTCGAGCGGTACCCATCCAGCTGTCATAAAGATCTGTAAGTCGTTGGTGTGGAGAAATCAATATGTAAAATGTGCGCCTGCGCTCCAATAAATACTAGCTACGAGCCTTCGTACTTTACTATGTGTGGCATTTGTGTGCAAGGCATGTGTGATATGCATATTTATACACATTTACAGAGTAAGCGTTTATTTATATTCTTTAATTTAGATGCTATTTTAACTAATTTTTTGGCCATATGATAAAAAAAATGGATGTTAAACACGTGTAGTCCTTGACATTCACCTGATTATACTCTCCGTCTGCTACATCTGTTTACCAGATGGCGATGACGTTACATAGCATAAGTTGTTGTATGGGATGATAAATACTATCCTTTAATATACCCCCCAAGTATAATCAAATATATATCCGTATATTCTCAAACATTCTGTTGAATAGAAAATTACAGTAATTCATTAAAATACCAGTTTTTTTTACTACTTTCTAACACAATATTATTATTTCCCAGAGCAGTGCTTGCTTTGAATGGCAAGTAAAGTTTTACAAAGTGTTTTATCAGTTTTGAAAAACTTGCAAGATATCATGAAATTTTCCTCGAAAACAAATCTTGAGGTATGAAAGTTCTATCATCTCAATTTTGTAGTCCTGAAATAATTTTTGCATAAAGCAAATATTTGAAATATAAATTTCATTTCCTTTCAAATATAAACAGTTTAAACATACATATATCAAAACTTTTTTTGACAAAACTCAAAATGGTTGTTTAGGCTTTTCTTAACAAAAAAAAAAGTAATCAAAAACATACCAAGAGTAATTATTAAGTTGAGTTGTACCCACATATGTTTTTGTTTAAATCTTTCCAAACAAACTGTGTTAATTAATCGAACGTTCTAAACAACCATAAGAATGTTACTAAACGTCTTTCCGTCACCAACCGTCGAGCAATGTTTATCCTAGAATTAAGGGCGAACTGAGAGAAGTTATATAGTGTTACGAATGTTGTGGGATTCGATTACTAAACATTTCCGAAAAGTTTATAATTTTAGTGTTTTTGTATGCAAAATGTTTGGTGAGTAATTTATTTTAAAATCCCCCACCCTCCATAACTGAAAATCTTATTATATCCGTCCGTGACTGAGCAAGATGACTCTTAGTAGTG